CAGCATTTGGAATTTGTATTTAAGATGCAATTGCCAAGTGAAAACTTTCATGTCCCAGGAATTTTAAGGTGGAAACTTGACTGTTTCTTGCTTCTGTGGGCATTGATTAAATCTTTCTACAATAATAGATTCACAAGGAAGAGTTTTTCCAAGCACATTCGTTTTCTGTAGATATCTCAGAAGCTGGCTCTGCTTCTTTTTCTTGCTTCTCTGTCACATGGTTTGTGTGCCTTGGAGGGAGAAGAATGGATGTTCTGTGTGTTGGTACATTCTAGCCGCTGCCCCTAGCCACACAGTCCAGGAATATTTAACGTCTGATTAAGTCAATGAAATTAATAGTAACTGATAATACAAATGAAGCTCATTGAGTGATGGATTAGTTAATACTTCTCTCTTTAGTCTGAGAGACATATTGACATAAAAGGGATAAAAAATTTCCAACTTAAAATGGGGATCCTTCAAAAGATTAATTTGCATGTTTGAAACCAGTGAACTAGTGGTGATTGAATGTCTCAGACTGCCGATGAGGATGAGCGAGCTAACACAGCTCTACAGTAGCTAGGAAGTATTTTCCTGTCAAGAGTAGCTGATAGTCTCTAAGCTTTCATTATGCTCTCTTTGGGGTGGTGGAAAAGGCAGCAACTTTGATATTCTCTTTGTATCAGCTGCTTGGAGAGTTGGTAGTGTTTCCACAGTAAGTTCCTACACAAAATCCTTTTAAACCTTGTAGGTAGTACATGCCTGTTGGACAACCAATAGCAAAGGAAATAGCCTACAGAGAACCACATACCACACTTCTGAATTCACAGCTACAACAAGTGAATGAACACAAGCTCAATATAGTTTGACAAGTAGAATAGACCATGTACAGAGTTGGTGAGTTATTGCTGGCCTCAGTCTGTCAATTAACTGCACATTGCTCTGTCTTCTCCAGCACACTTGTGCTGTGTCCTTGGCTGGTTCCTTTTGCTTTATATCAGAAAGACACAGGTTTTGTAATTTGGACTGAAAGGTTAGAAGTTCACAATTAGTGCTAAAAATTGCAAACATGGTTCTTAAAGTAATGGCAAGACATAGCATTAGATTTCCCAAAGCTACTGGTGTGGGTACAGATATTGTGTTCCGAGGGAGTTGGTATCTTCTTCCATGTTGTCTAACTGGCCTAAAATCCAGGGATTATGATGTATTCGCTGCAGCTTCCATGATTTTGAGATGATTAACCATATTCATTGTCATTACCATCCTCTTCTTAAATGAAAGTCTACCAGATCTTCAGTGGAGGTGAAATGAAAGAGGAGAATGAAAGAATACAAACTTCTATCTTGTTTGATTTATTGGGACCTGCAATGAAAAGTCTACCTTTACATGAACTTGAAATTTCAGTTTTTAATTCTTAACAATTGCAAAGCACAGGAAAATAAAGATAGAATTAATGAACACCTCAACCAACCTAGATTATACTTGTATACTTTTCATTACTTCTTTAAAAGTAATTTGGAGCATCTTGGCTTAGCCAGTACTTAATGGTCCTGAAATAACAACATTCCTAGCTCTGTCTAAGAAGTGTTCTTTAATAGCAACACATTGTTTTAGGTGTTCTTTATCTGATGGGGACAAAACCATATTGACTAATATCAGTTATTTCTATATTGCTATAAAAGAATGTGGGATATCTATGCTATCTTTTACAAAAGGAAGGAAGGAAGAAAGAAAGAAAGAAAGAAAGAAAGAAAGAAAGAAAGAAAGAAAGAAAGAAAGAAAGAAAGAAAGAAAGAAGAAAAAGAAAGGTAGAGAAAAACCCATGTTCCATTTTGGTTACATATCTGTTGAGGAAAAACAAAAAAGACTGCCAAGTTAAAGCTTAACTTAAGTCAGAGAAAACCAGTAAATCACTCCAGGCATTTGATATTATTAGATATTAAACTTTGGGGGCTTTAATATGAATTCTTTTTATAGCAGTCAATATAATCTCTTCTGTACCTATTTCCATTGCATGTAAGAGAGAAATTCTACTCAATGAATGGGCACTTTACTGATGCCATTATTGCAGGGTTTATAGATCAGGGATGTGTCAGCATGTGGAATTCAGCAGTAATGCCTCTTTTGTGTGAAAACTTATGGGCCTTGCAGGCACTCTTTCATCCTGACACTCATGAAACGTTCAAGTCTCTGTATTTATTATTTAATCTTCTTCCTATATATGAAGCACTTCAATATATGAATATGTATCCAAATATGACAGGCAAGTGTGAATGGGTCTAATGAGTTTTAATAATACACATATTAGGAACTGCTAAAGGAAGTTTAATTAAGAAAAGCAAGTTAAGCATGAAATTCATTTTGGAACAAAAGCAAGTTAAGTTAGTGCTAGTGATGTAAACTATAAAAACCACAGTGATACATCACAGTAAATTAAGTTTCTGGCTGAGACTAGACCACTCAAATGAAGTTTGCATGGTAGGACTTAGCTGGAGCCCTGAAGTTTTTATGGAACTTGTGAAATATATACTGTTAAGAAAATGTTTTTACTTTTCCTTGGTTTGTATGGCATCATTAGTATTTCAGCTATCGATCAGCCAAACTTTTTGTACAAAACACTAGTGCTCATTCATTTTTATATGCATTGACCATATATTTGTATATGTTTGTTCCCCTTCTCAAGCTCCTCCCAAATCTAGCACCCCCAGACCCGCCCCATGCTGAGGAGGAGTTGGCCTACCTAAACAGACTCTGGACTCTGCCTTTACCTTATGCTTCTTTTGTTTGCATTGTTTCAATTTGCTACTAATTACTTTCTGAAAGGCCACACAATGACGTTTTCTAGACTACACTTCTCTAATCATGCAAATGCCAACAACTAGATTCTTATTTGTGCTTTCCTTTTGGGGGTGCTCTAGGTGATACAACAAACTGTAAGTCTGAGTTTATCTGTTTCTATAACCCATTTAATTTTGTGTTGTTTAGAAAACAAATAGACCCACTATTTGTTTGTTTTTTATTCATCTAGTACAATGATTTCTTTTACTTACAGATTTCCACCACTTATTATATCTAACACTAGCAATCCCATTTTGGTTTTTTTTCTTCTCATAATGCATTTTTACATTTTCAGGAAAAGTATTAAATGTACAGCTTAAAGGTAAATTACATTTTCTTTTACAAAATCATGGTTAGTTATATCATATTGGCCTATAGAACATTCACTATGCTTGCATATTCAACAAGGTCATGTCTGGAATCAGGGAATATCAACTAATAATAGTCAAGTTGTGATCATCAGTAGTCTGAGGTTTCCCCATAGGAAAACGAACCATCCCCAGAGAGTACTGAGCAATAAACACTATTTCCTGCTTATGACAATGACCAACAGCTTGACACGCTCTCTGTACCTGGAAGAAATACTTAATCCACTCAATAGTTAACCTAAAAGGCATACAGGTTCACTTCAGCAGCCATTCTGTTTCAAGTCAGTGCATCTGTCATTTTTGATTTAAATCTGTATTATGTAGCTGTCCAAAACTTTACACACAAGTGACAATGTTATCTATCCTTTTCTTATGGGTAAAAACATCACCAGTTTTAAGACTCCTTCAATTGTGCCAACTGTATTAATACACAGGTTTTGAGGATGCCAAAGTTCTCTACGATTTAGAGCTGTACTCTTTAACAGTAACATCTGGGTTGAAACTCTTTTACATATCCAATCAACCCGGTAGTATCAGTGTCCTTAAAGATGGTAAGGTTCTGGGCTTCTCCCCAGCATGTAGAGTTGTACACTAACTACAAATTATTTTTTAAATTTAAATGTAGCTTTTAAAATAATTTTACTCACATATATGACATGTTGTTATTTCATTTACTAGCACATTTTGTAAGGTTTTGCCATCCCTTTCCTTATCAGAGGCCTAGAAGACCACCCTGAAGGGACTACTAAGAGCATTGGATTTAACCCAATGTAAAATTAGTATTATTTATTCATAGATTTCCATGGGTAAGCCATTTCACAGACTAGCTTGTCCTGTTTTGTTTTTTGTTAGTTATTATATTCATAGTTTATAAAGATATTATTTTAAGTTTCATTTTTAGAGTGGGCCAGGGAGTTCTTTAATGCCATTGGTTTAGTTAATATTTTCAGTGATAATTTATTTCTAACTAGGAGTAACTAGGAGGTAGTTTTAAAAAATATGTTAATTCTGCTGCTTTGACAGTTTCGTACCTGAACAAAATATATTCTGATAATCTCTCCCTTCCCACATCTCCCTCTCATCTCTATCGATAGGCTCATTCCTACCAGTCACTATCTTAGGTTTCTGACTCTTGGTTTTGTTTTGTATGACCCATTTAGTTTAAACAGGGTCATCTGTTTGACCATTGGATTAGAAGTATCTTTTGGAGCATGCTGGGTTCATTGGTGGGTATACCATTGGAGACAATTATTTCCCTCCCCATGAACTGATCAATATAGCCTATACCTCAGTAGTGAGGGATTTGCCTCTGCTTAACTGATATTTAGCCTTTTCACTATTGATTTTTTTTAAAGCATAAAATCAGCAGCCTGGACTCTTAGGGGAATGCCTAGACCCTACCCCCAGTGAAATGACAGACTCTAGATATCCCCTATGTGGAAGGAATTGGCAATAGGGTGGGAGGCTGGGGGGGAAGGGGAGTGCGGGAGGAAGGGAGGGAGAGGGAACTGGGATTGACATGTAAAACAAGCTATTTAAAATTAAAATAAAAAATGATATAAAAAAAGAAATCAATGAAAATTCTGTTGTACAGGAAGATAAAAAAAATCAGTTGTTACTTGAAGTTACATAAAATTTAAAGTAATGTTCTATATTCCCCCAAAATCCTAAATCTTAATAAAAATTAAATGACAAATAAATAGTTTTAATGATAATCTAGGTTGTTTTAAATACTAAGAAGAATTGTTAATGCAATAGAATCATCTCATTTCTTACAACTTTTGAAAGGAATCTTATGCCTATGAACATATTAAATTGTTATTTATTTATATTTGATTTATTAATGTGCTACACAAATGGGCCATAAACAGAATGCTGGTTTGAATCATGTGATTATGAAGAATTCAAATAGTATTGTAATATGAAAGAAAACATATCTGTAAAAGAAAAAGATTGTTGGTATAATATTTTTGTCATTTGAGCCACCATTTGAGCTCTGTGTAAGGTCTGGGGCTGCAGGAAACCATTGTTGGTGTTTGGTGTCTTGTGTAAAAGAAGTTTGTGGTCTCATTCCAATTGTAGAGACAGTTGCTCCTTACACAATAGTCACTATAGTGTTTGCCAGCTCTCGCAGAAGACAGGGACTGAATGGGCACAGAAGTAAACTCCACTCCCTGTGCGAATCATCCTCTTTGGGGTCAAGACTGACACGACCAGCACAGAGCCACACCAGAAACTTCCAATCAGATCTCCTCTGCCAAAGTGGTGGCCATTCTCTGTCAACAAGGGATTTTTTAAAAAAAAGGAATGTTAATTAAACGGGGCACCAGGAAGGGTGATTTTCTTTTTCATTCTTCTCAGATACTGGCCGCTCACTAGAAACAAAAATAAGCTTAAATAGAGAATGGGAAATGCCATGCTGCCTTAGCTGTGCTAGCTTCTCTATAAGGTACTGGCAAGCATAATTAAGTTGCTTCTACAGCAATGACTTGTGACCTATGGGTGGTCTGTTCAGACAAAAGCATCAATTTAATATCATGGGAAGCACCTGGCTGTCTCCTCTGAGCTCCTGAGTGGTTATTCATTTTCTTCTGGGAGATCACAGGGTCACCCATTGGTTTGAAAAGCATGTCATGCAGTGCTTTACATATGCATCCAATCTGTTGCCCCTGACTTTTTAAGAAGCTCTGTCTCATCTAGGCTTGCTCCTTCACCCCATTCACCTTCCTGTTCATTTTGAAGTCAGGATCCCTAAATAGATACTAGATGTAAAAAGAATATCTGAGATGCAACCTCATAGTATGTTCAAAAGAAATAGAAAGTAAAACTTATTTTACACAGTTAATGGTAAGTACCTTTCTCCATTTCCACCAGAAAAAAATGAACAGAGGGGAACGATGCTCTACAGAATCAGGCAAAGTACAAACATGTACTAGAAGTGTCTAGCTGAACAATACAGAAAAAAGTAGAATGATATTGCTTCCATTTCCTGCCCTTCATATTGTCAGAAAACCTGCCATAGCTCTTCAAATCCCCATCTTGCTGAAAAGTAATTTATCATCCTCATAGCAGTCTATTTGCTGTTCTACTGAATAAGAAGGCCTTTTCATTGATCTTTGACATAGTTCTGTCTAGTCTGTTTCATCCTGTATTACATGAATATCTATAAGCTAAAGCCTCTAGAGAGATCAGGTGTCCCAACCCACAACCAAAAGGAGGATGGCCTTAAATAATGGAAAACAGTAGGATGAGTCAAATGTACTTCATTTAAGAAATATTTTCTGAAGTCTGCCAAGACCATATCTGGTTATCAAAAACAAGAAAAGTGAAAGCACAGCCTCCATTCTTAAAGAGTAAGGCTAGTATTACCATCATGCTGTTCTTGTGATTGTAATTATTCTTATTTTATTCAACATAAGATTTTTTAAATTATTTCTTCACCCCTTCCCTTTCCTCCCTGAAAACCCTCCCATATAGCCCTCCTTACTCTTTCAAATTCAAGGTCTCTATCTAACTTGTTGAAACATACATACATTTATATGCACATATATATGTATTGAGATAATACTTTATCACTAAGACTGCCTACACATTCTTACCTTGTCAGCTTCTTCCTCTGTTGTAGCCTGAAGTGCATCCTTTTACCTTGCCTCCTCTCCTGTTGGGAAGCCTCAGTCTCCACGGCATTTGCAGGTTCAGGTGCTTCTCTTGAAACATTCTAACCGTTGACCTTAACCTTCCACTTCCAAGTCACCCTTCAGGTCCTTCTTGCAGCTCCAGACCCTCAACTATCTCCCGATCATTGATGACTACATAGTAGTCTGAGTAACAGGTGTACACAATGCTTTGCCCTCCCAATTACACTCCTGCCTCCTTGAGAAACACAGCATTACTGAGTTCCTTTGCTCTGCACCTGATGTTTGAGAAAATGAAGCAGATGCCATAACAGGCTGCTTGGCTTGGTCTTCTCTCAGAGATCAGGCCTCAATTTCCATTTTCTAACACAAGCAGTTTCTGAAGGAGTCACAAATAAAGGGGAATTAATCTCTGCTGCCCCTTACCACAGAGATAAGGGAGATAGGACACACCAAGCCTGGGCCATTGAGCAAGCACTGACCTTCAGTCCATTCTAGACCAGCCAGCCTCCACAGCAGCTCAAGGACAGGGCTTCAGACTTGTCCAGGCTTGCCCCAAAATGAAAAACTGTAGCCCTGAGCAGCCCTTGACTAGTCATGGTCAATTAGAATAAAATAATATGATTGCCAATTGTTAAGCCAACGATATCTAAGTGACCTAACTGCCCTAGAAACTCCCCTTGGCTGCGCTTTAAGTAGCTTACAAGCTCATCTCTGGTCTTTGCCATTTTGTCTTTGTATGGGATGGATGGTTCCAGCATGCTGGAATAATGGACATTCTTGCTGATTACATACATGAATGGTGGTCTTTTGTGGGACTTCTCCAGAATCCTAACAGTGTTCACTAAATGTATAATTGAAGACAGACTGAGAAGACTGATTCCTGTGATAAAATGTACAATAGGATTAGTTCCAGGAAGATGATAAATACTTTGACAGTTGAGGAGAAAGAATTCTTTTGTGACTGGAGAGATGAAGGAAGAGAGAAATGACCTGTTGTCCAGGCCTTCAGGGCTGCTAGCCCAGGCTCCTCCAGGTGAACATTGAAGCTCTTAGTGGACTAGCTGAACCCAAGCCCTTGGGCATTCACCCCACTGTGATGTGTTTCCTTCATACCATGTACTCAGACAAGGTTTGCTACCTAGTGTATTCTCTGCTGTGTACTAAGTGGAATTTGTTCTCAGTCTTTATGATACCCTGTTGCTTATTTCTGTGAATGTTTGCCTTTCAACATCTAATTTTATCCATTGTTTTCTTATCAGTGGAGAGTAACACTAAGAGAGGACGTAGCCCCAGAAGCAAGGGAAGAAATAGAGCCAGTTCTGCAGAGAAAAGGAGAGGGACTTTAGCCGTACAAAATTAATGGGGCCTGCCAGAGCCCTCCTCCTCCTCCTGGAAGGAAGCTTCAAGTGAAACAGAGAGGAGAGGTGTGCTATCACGCTATTAACCTTTCCAACTGTGTCTTTCTGGGGCTCCAGCTCACTATGCTCTTGTCTAATGGAAGAATGTTTCAGTGGCTTTGTGTTTCTGGTGTATATTTAGCAGTCTCTTAGGAAGGAATGGTGAAGATCTCTACTTCATGGTAATATAGCAGATTGAGTGTATGCTTCATGGTAGAAGGTACTTGTCCCTGTATCAATGACTCCCCGACCCTAATACTCAAGATCTCAAGTAGAACAAAATGTCCCAGGACTCACTATGTACAAGAGTGATTTTGAACTCTTGAAGCTCTTACTTTCTTCTCCAAAAGCAGGGATTCTAAGAGTGCACCCTCCATCCCATGTCTGTTTAATACCCACATACCTTGCATTTGTATGTAATGAGTGAGAGTTGGATATTCATATCTCAAAATATGCCTTCTTTAAACTGTGGTTCTTATGCACTCTTAATGTTCCTCTTTAACCCTTTCTGGTACCATCTCTTTCCATATTCTGATGCAGGTAGTCTCATATCTGAATTGCCATTCTTGTTATCCTTGCTCCTCATAATTCTGGCATTCTCCATTTTATCAGCCCCAGCCCCCACTTCATCACCGCCTTCTGCTAGCAGCTATAAGTTGCTTCTGGATAAGGTTTCAGTACCACACTGTTTGTAGTTGCTCAAGATTATGCCTATTCATTAGCCCCAGCAGGCCAGTCCCCAGCTTTTTGTATTTCCCTCCTGTTGGTGTCTCATGTGCTCCACACTCCTCAAATATTCAACCTCAGTGAGCATATGGCTGCACCGAATTGGTCTCACTAGGGTGCACAGCTGAGCGCTCTGTATCAAACGCATGCAGACATATGTTTGGAGTTTGGGCAGTCACTTGTTTCTTCAATCTGCCTTGTCTTGCATTTGTGGCCTTGCACATTGTATATAGCCAATTAAAACCTCATTTTTACTCATCTCAAATAAGGATACATAGTTTATAAGTTTGTTGTGAGGTAAGTGGTGTGGACAAATTTGTTTTGAGCAGAGTTCAGAAGGTTGCTTTGTTGTCTTCCGTATTCATGGTCTGTTTCAGTTTTATAGAATTATGGATGAACTCAGCTGATAGTTCAAATTAATATAAAATAATACTTGTTTCTCTTTTCCTGCAACCAATCCATTTAAGGTGGTGGTTCTCACACATTGTGATGGTTAATCTATATTTCTGAGAGGCAAACCCCTCAAATGCATAAAATATATTCAGTAGCTTCCCCATAAGTGTGTATATCAGTGGACTGAACCAACAACTGGAATTAACAAGATAAGAAAGACAAAGCCAGTATTTTTTTTAATTTTATTTTCCAGTTTAAATTTAGATAAGAATCAAGGTTGCTTCACAAGTCAGTTCCAGGTCCCTCTCCCATTCCCTCCCTTCCTCCTGAGCCCTCCCCCCCCCGGTTATCCCCTCATTTCCCCAGGGAGGGTGAGGCCCTCCATGGGGGTGTGCATAGTCTGTCATTTCATATAGGGCAGGGCCTAGACCCTTCCCCAAGAGTTCGGGTGAGAGTGCACCTCAAACTCACATTGTTCTATGGGAGTCCAAAGTCCGTGAGTATACTTGGGATGGGTACTGATCTGCTGCCCAAGGCTCAATAGATTCCCTAGGCCTCCTCACTGACACCCACATTCAGGGGGTCTTGATCAGTCCCATGCTGGCTTCCCAGGCTGATGCCTGGGATTCAAGAGTTAACCTTTGTCTGGTCAGCTGTTTCTGGGGGTTAAACCAGCCCAGTCTTAATCCCTTTGATCATCAGTCCTCCCTCTCTGTTACTGGCTTTCTTGAGTTCAGCTCAGTACTTAACCAAGGGAGTCTGCCTCTTCTTCGATCAGCCACTAAATAAAGTTTCTGTTTCCCAGACTCTCTGGCCATAGGATTGAAGGCTGGCACTCCCCAGATCTATGTCTAAAATCCATATATGAGAGAGTACATGCCATGTTTCTCTTTTTGTGACTGGGTTACCTCACTCAGGATGGTTTCTTCTAGTGTCATCCATTTGCCTGCGAATCTCATGATTCCATTATTTTTTTCTGCTGAATAGTATTCCATTGTGTAGATGTACCACATTTTCTCTATCCACTCTTCGGGTGAGGGACATCTAGGTTGCTTCCAAGTTCTGGCAATTACAAATAAAGCTGCTATGAACATAGTGGAACAGACATCTTTGTTGTATGAATGGGCATCTTTTGGATATATGCCTAAGAGTGGAGTTGCTGGGTCTTGTGGTAGGTTTATTCCCATTTTTCTGAGGAATCTCCATACTGATTTCCAAAGTGGCTGAACCAGTTGGCACTCCCACCAGCAATGGAGGAGTGTCCCCCTTTCACCACATCCTCTCCAGCATAAATTGTCATTGGTGTTTTTGATTTTAGCCATTCTGACAGGAGTGAGATGGTATCTGAGAGTTGTTTTGATTTGCATTTCCCTGTTCAAAGCCAGTATTTTTAAAGGCTTAGAAATATATTATGTCACCACTCATCAATATTTTAAGGCACACAGGTTCTTAGGTCACAGTGCAAAGCTAATGGAATAGATATAAATCTCTTACAAAGTTATATATCTGCTGTTTTCATTATTTTCTTATTTGTTATTATATCTGACTAGTTATTTACTGCTTTTAATCCTGTTGTGTAGCTGGAAAAGATCTTGCAGTAAAAGGAAAAGCATTATTTAATAACCTTGCTCTTTACTCATGATGTGATTATTATTATTATTTTCTTAAATCTATATTTCTCTTGTTGATGGACTTACTAAATAATCCATTTGGCAAAGGCTGCTTTAAATGTAACTCAATAAATGACTAATAACTTTATTTATCTAATTCCACAAGTTCTAACATGGTAGCTCATACTGACAATCAACTGTACGTACAAAATAACGCTCCTAGCAAATAATACTAACACTTTTACCTTCCAAAGGAAAACTCTGTGCTTCATGTTGCACCAACATTATGGAGGTGCTGGGTTTAAATTAAATATATGTATTAATAAAGCTTACTTTCATTTTCTTCTAGTTTTCTATTTCAAAAGCATTCATTTTCCTTTTCATGTATAATTGCCCTGAGGTGCGATGTGGATACCTTGCTTCAACCATCCCTGCCTGCCAGTTTAATTTTCTGTGAGTAGAGTTGATAATATTCCTCCCTTGATAGGGATTATAATGGCTTTTCATCCTTTGTTGATGAAATCTAAATAAATCTGAATAGTTTAGCTCCTTAATGAAGGGCTTGTGTGATTTAGCTCCAGCATTCATTCTCTGAGTTCTGGCCAAACTGAGTGTTGCTTCCTAACAGGAAGAATATTTTCCACCTTCTGCCCTACGTCAGATTTTCTCTGTATGCACATGCGTGGGTGAGGGATCAAGATTTTGGGAGACAAGATTATTAGTATGAAGTTCATTGGGACATCCCATGAAAACAGTCACAAAAGGAAGTAAGGAAATTCCAGTGTGCTCTCCCTTCTATCAACTCCTATGTGGAGATCAGGGATGATAATAATCCCTCAGAATTGCAGGCTGATCTTTCTGAGAATCTGGGCTGTTCCCAAGGATCATGAGCCCCACAGAATCTATGAAAACGTATTATTAATATCACTGGAGTATGTTCTCTATCTTGGATCCTTTCCTATTCATTCTTGAAGGCTCCTTCTCATTCCCCTGGAATCATAAGCTCTCATAATCCACTAACTTTTCTTTTCATGCCAAACAACTTTCAGACCTGTTCTTAAGTATTTGCTGTGGGAATTGCTTACCTACTAGTTACTTTAAGTATTTCATTAATAAAAACATTCAGCTGTGATCACTGAATACCTTTATTACAGGCAAAGAACATAGTACACAAAATAAGAAAAAGATATGCATTATGCAGATAGCTATTCTCAGTGTATTTTCTCCAACTGTAGGCTCATTTTTGTTATCTCTCTGTCTTGGCCACCACCATTGGAACACATAATGCCAAAGTCTGCTGGTGTTGGTGTTCACTTTCAGTGAAGTAGGTGGTCACACAGGCACCTTCCTGCCATGCATCCAAATTTGATCATTGAATGAAACATTTATTATTAAACTAATTAAATTTAACTTAATCATTTATTTCCATTATTTACTATTACTAAGAGTATGCTTGACAGATTGTTCTATCCCTACTCATGGATAAAATCAATATTCATATTTGGTTAATACAATTGACCCTTATTGTTTCTGGTATCTATAGTTGCATATTTGCTTTTCAATAAGATTTATTTTCAGAACAACTAAAATCAAAACTCACATGCACCAGAAAGCTCATCTTTGCATTCTTTATCCAGCTGATGCATAGGAGGAAGTGACCATCTTGTGCAGAGGAAGGAACTCTCTTATGAAACCAGCTGGAAGGGGTTTAGATCACTACTCTGACACCTGTTGAACTAGCCTTACTCATGCAACACTCATGAACCTTGTTTTTTCTCTTCTGCAGATAGAATCAACTAGAATGAGACACTTCGAGAGTTCAAGACTATAACTATACATTCATATGACATCTCTCTCTCTCATACACACACACACACACACACAGAGAGAGAGAAATAAAACTCTTCATGATTCCATAGTATTTGTACATGAATTATAAAAGTGCTCTTGTATTGTATTTTCTTTTGAAATATAGAGTCTCGTCAATTCTCTAACAATTCTCTAGCAACAGTTTAAAAAGTCTTAGCATTCTTACTGGAACAGAGAGAGAGAGAGAGAGAGAGAGAGAGAGAGAGAGAGAGAGAGAGAGAGAGAGAGAGAGAGAGAGAGAGAGAGCAAGGGAGAGTCTGTGTACATGCATATGTACACACTTAATGTGTGTGCACTTTTTAGTGAGGGTGTCTACACCTGCATATGAAGGCTGGAAGTTGGTGTCAGGTGTCTTCCTCAGTTTCTCTCCACCTTACTTTTTGAGACAGAATCCGCACTAAACCCAGAGATCAAGGCAGCTAGTCTAGCTGGCCAGTGAGCTCTATGGACTCCTTTGTCTCTGTTTTTCTGTCCTTGCAATTACAGTGTGTTCGACTAGGCAAGTGGGGAGAGTGCTGGATCTCCAAATGTAGGTTCTAATGTTTACACAGTATGCACTTTACAAACTTGCTGTCTTAGAGCACCACAGTGAATTTTTGTAAACAATTATAAATTGAAGAGAGTACAATAGAAATGGTCAGAAGGACGACCTTCAGATCAAATGGCCATGGGCTGTGGTTCTGCAATTGATAATCAGAGATCTTGGCCAACATGTTTAATCTTTGGGACCTCTATTCCCTGCGAATTGAGCCCATTTTCATAGGATTGTACTGAATAAGGTGTAAATGCATGAAACCTAAGAGTTTGATGTCTAATCTAGAAACATTAATAAATGGAAAACAGTCAAAAATATATTTTAAAGGCATATTACTTTGAAAGCTTTCACTAATGTAAACAAGCTTTTTTATTTTGAATACCTGACCTAAAAGGTTGTTATTATAATAGTGATGTCTAGAAAATAATTTTGGGTCACTATTATAGTTCTCTGTAATTACCCACTGACAACATGGAATATTATGGTAAACACCAGAACAAAACTCAGGAAAATTAGAAAATTCACTATGCCATGCAGAATTCTGATGCAACATTCCATTAAAACAGTATATCAAGGGGGACCAGGAGTTTATCTTAACACAATTATGAAAGTTAAAGACCTGTAAGTGCAAAAAGGAGTGCTATTTTTTAATAGCCAAACAAGAATCTTAGAATATTAATGAGATGCCTATCGTGTGAAGGAGAATGTCTGGAAATCCTTGCTGAGTGAAAAGGTTGACTAAGCCTTTCCAGGATCCCCACAGGATCTCTACCTTAGGTGTTAAAATGATGTCTTTTACCAGCTAGAGTTCTCCTATGGGCAAACAGGGCTCAGCCCCACTGTGGCCCACGATGATTCATGGCATACATGAGTTTGTGTAGCTACATCTTCTGTCAATGCAGGAAAATGGGACTTGAGTAAGAAGGGTCTCTGCTAACAGGACAATTAGCACGGACTGGAATTCTCTTGAAGAAAGAAATTTTCTTCTTACTTCCTCCAGGGATGGATTAATTGTTCAGAGCCCAAGATGCTCCCCAGAACTAAATCTATGGGCCTATAGGATTTTTACAATTTCCTTTAAAGCTCTACAAAGTTAGGGCAGTGTCACTGCCAGACCAGCCCTTCTTCAAGAACCATCCCACAATGTGCCAGGACAGAACCATCTCTCATAAAAATCCACACTAGTATTTACAAAGTAAGCACTTTAAAGAGTGGTTTAAACACAAAACAACACGTTTCCTGGGCTGCATGCTCTTTCACAGTTGGTGTGAGATGAGCCTGAGGATTGCATTGCACTGAGCATTACAGCTTGTTCAGATGCGTTTTCAATCTCACTGAATAAACAGCATGAGATGTTTGATGAGTGTTAATATGCAAGATGCCACAATTAGGTATGATTGTTCTTTTAAATTACTGCACTCTTTTTTTGTATTCTTCTTTTGATCTCTCACAGACAGTGAGAACAAAATTTGTAATTTAAAACATATTGACTTTGACTCAGAAATTCATTTACACATTGCAAATCCATTGTGGGCTGAAACATATAGCTGGATGAAAAAATATCTTGGGTCTGCAATAAAGATGCCAATTTCTTTCTCCTTTGTATGTATTGTTCATAGCATTTTTCCATGCTAAAATTTTGACCTTAAGTTTAAATTAAAATTCTGTAAATGATATATCCTGGAAACTTTTGAGAAATGACAAGGAACCTGGCCTCATGAGGAAGCAGGATTTAAATACATTTCTGTTGTGTTCATTATAAATATGGGTTTGGGTACTTCCTTTTATTTATTTTTAAATACATACAATCATTCCTACTGGTTGATCCTCCACTAAACACTAACACTTTAAAAATCATCTACTTTTTGGGTTCTAATTCTGAGCAGGTTTTTCTAGGTATTTGAAATTATTAAAGTATACATAAAGAGGAAATTTTCATGTATAACTAACCTGCAGTGCAAAAGAAAAAACAGCACTGTAACATATAGTGCTCTCCAAACTGTGTGTTTGACAAAGCCTGTTTCTACGTCAGTACATGCAAAATCAGCAGACAAGATGCTCAAAAATCCAAAAATCACTTCACCTTTAGTCTTGCATCAAGCCATTAGTTTCTTTCTGTAGTGTTCAATTTAACCAACTCTAGTCACTCTTAATGTATTTCTATACCTTAAAAAACATCTAGTTATCACCTTGTCTGTAAATGTGTTCTTATTAATGATTTATTTTCATTTTTTTCCTCTAGGATATAGACCCACAGTTAACTGGATTTGATTTATATGAGGGAAAATACAGTCAATGGCTACTCTTGCCACATTGCTACTATGGAAAACAGAATGGTCAATAGGAGATGGTCTGATGAATAGTGATGATTGAAGATGCTGCTTCAGTCCATGTGAAATCAATGGGAGCTGCTTGCTGCATGAAGAGTACTCTGAGCTTTCCTTGACAAGCTAACATTTGAGAAGCCGGAGGTGCATTCTGCCATCATTCCATCTTTCTCAAGTGGATACAAATATATTTGCCTCATTGCACCAGACAAATAGACAACTGATGTGGGACCATGGCACTTCCCAGATGCATGTGGCCAAATTATGTTTGGAGAGCCATGATGGCATGTGTGGTACACAGGGGATTGGGTGCCCCATTGGCTCTCTGTTTTTTGGGATGTTTTCTACAGACTGTCCACGTGCTCTCCCAAAAACTGGATGATGTAGATCCATTGGTGACTACTAACTTTGGAAAGATAAGAGGGATTAAGAAAGAACTAAATAATGAAATTTTGGGGCCTGTCATTCAGTTTCTTGGGGTTCCATATGCTGCTCCACCAACAGGTGGCCATCGTTTTCAGCCTCCAGAGCCACCATCTCCTTGGTCTGATATCCGGAATGCCACACAGTTTGCTCCTGTATGTCCCCAGAATATCATTGATGGCAGATTGCCTGAAGTTATGCTTCCTGTGTGGTTCACTAATAACTTGGATGTGGTTTCATCATATGTTCAAGACCAGAGTGAAGACTGCCTATACTTAAACATCTATGTCCCAACTGAAGATGGTGAGTTCATTGCAGGAACACAGGGAGATATATTTATTTTCTATTCTAAGTTTGAATACTATTAATTCATGTGTACTGGTAGTATGCATGGCTTTTCCTGTTGGCATGTAGACATATTTTACATGCTTGCATGCTGCTCCTTTTGTTTTTGTGTGTCAGTGTATCTGTTCTTATTTTTTCACTGTGCCTACTCATTTTCTTTCCTCCACAGCACGTATATTTAGGTAGAAATGGGCTCCTAATTTCCATTTCCTACCAAATGACTTCTGAGAAGATGCATCAGCGTTTCCTCATTGCATGTGCAGGCTCAACAAATTGGGGCTCTATCGCACTCAGTAAAAACAGGAGTGTACTAAGTTAGATAGTGGTGTTGCATGTTCCGGCGGTCTGTGATGGAGCGCCATGTTATTTTCTAGTCTTCTATTCATTTTTCAGTAAAAAGAATATCCAAGGAATGTGCCAGAAAACCCGGCAAGAAAATATGTAGAAAAGGAGGTATGTATAAAAGTGAAAATGAAAACAATGTAAAAGTTTACAGAGGAAGAACCAGATACTCTCCCAAAGGCTGGCTTGCTGAGGCTGGGGAGTAAGTGTTAGGTGATGGGTCAGGAGAATGTAAGCTGAGCAGACAACACTGGGAAAATTCATTGGTGACTCCAGTGTTCTCCTATGGGCAGTACCCTTACTTACTTACTCCTATGTAAGTACCCTTACAAATGTATTTTCTCCCTATGCTTTGCTTATAAAGAAAAAGAAACCTCACTCTTATGCTGCCTAAAGAATTCAAATGGTGCTACCTTAACAACTGGTCAGTTTTAGTCTTTGAACTCTTCTTGAACATGAACAGATGTGTCCCTCTTCAAAACAATTAGTTCATAAGCCTTTATTTTATGGCGGTGTAGTCTTTGATCCTTCTGAACAACTTGCGGACTTTCTGATCATAAGGGTTAATTGGCTACAGCTATGGGGCAGTTACTATTATATGGTAAAAGTGACATTTTTCCCAAGAGTTGTTTTTTTTTTCAGTTACTCTTCTAGAAGAAAATGAGATATTTTTATTCTCTATGTGAAATATTTACAGTCTTAAAATGTCTTTAACTTTTATATATTTATGTTAAACAATTTAAAACATGGGAAGAACGTGATTCAGAAGCTCCAATTAAATCAACCTTCAAATCATCCTCTAGCCAGATTGAGGAAATGTAGACACTGACAGCTGCAAGCTCACATCTGAATGCAGTATGGCCACATTCCATTTTTACATAACATTCAGTAAATCACTCACAGGAGTGGATGATTTTCTACAGCAGTAAATCTAAGTGTTATTTTGACCTTATTCATAACTTAGTAGAATTTTCAGTCCTCCTACAAAAGTCATATTAATATTCCAGGGCTGTACATTCCATCTCTCTTTGCACTTCTAATCTGGCTGGAACAGGTCAGACTTCATTATAGCATCTTTGTGGGGAAGGGAGTGTCTAAACGCTGTTTTATGAGGTTGGATTATATGGAAGACACTTAAGAGTAACAGAATTATGAACCGTCCATCAGAAGTATTTGCTTTAAGTTGGCTATTATTGTTTCTCTTATCTGTTGGACAAAATAGAGTTCGAACTTTACTTTTAGAAATTTAAGGCCATGGTTTGAGCCAAATGTATAGAATGCTTAAGAAAATATATGGCAGAAACAGAGTGCTTCCAAACAACTAAAGTCAATTCCTTTTTTTTTTCAAAAGAGAATAACAGCAGTGATTTACATGCCGTTAACTAATGTATAATGCTGCAGTGTTTATTATTATGCTTCTTATCAAGCATGTGTAATTAGCTAAGTGACTTTCGCCTCCTATCACAAAGCTGTTGATTCACAAAGTCATAAATAAAGATGCTGTTCAAGAATGCATAAACAGAGCATAATGCATGAGAAAAGCGTGATTACAAAAAGAGATAAGGGCACCAAAAGGTAAGATAGTAAGCAAGAAAATGACCTTTCTTCTCATAGAACTTCATCAAGAGAAAAAAGGCCCAATAGAACTTATTATTTTTATTTTTATAACTTGGCTTGTTGATTCTATGAGAATTGGCAAAGTCTTGTGTAGGCTAGGCTGTTTACTTTGGCAACCTTTGAGCTAATTTATAATTAGAATAGGACAATGTCTACAGATGCCCACTGATTGTGTGGTGCAGTCAACTATTGTGCTTTTATGCAGTGCTAATTAAGCGCTATTTAAAAATCCTATTTTTGAGGACTTAGCATATCTTATTATAATTAGAGAAGGCCTGATTCCCTTTAATTGGTTATGTGTTACCTTAAATTTGAATAACTAATAATTTCAGCGTTATATTCCATTCAACTGGTGTTTTCTAAAAATAAAATCTAACATTTACATTTGGCTATTGAATGATGTAGAAGAAAATGTTCCTAAAGCTTTAATTTTATGTTTATTCTCTACCATAAAACGTTTATTTCAGTTAATTCAAAAAATCATTAAGCTACACATAGTGATAAGCACCTATCATTCCAGACAACTGTTGGAAGATAAAGGCAGGAGGATATAGATTTCAAAGTCATCTGTGGCTATGCAGTGAGTCGGAGGCTAGCCTGCTTTATATGTTCCCTGCTTCAAGAAGCTACAAAATTAAGAAAAGAAGAAACAATGAAAGTTAGAGAAAGAGAATTATTCTGTTATCCTTTTTCAAGAAATTACTATTAATTTCATAGCCATTTATACAAATTTAAGTTTATACTACAATGGACTCTGGGTTCTTAAGCATCTTTGTTCTAGAGGCTCTTAAACAGTGGTTCAGAAACCAAGATAATAGTAGCATTGTGCTTGGTCCAGATGCTAATTTTTGGCTTGTAATTATTTACCTCTTTTCTTTATAATGTATACAATCACTTGCAGAAGCAGATGGCCTTGGTTCCTGTGCCAAGCCTTCTATAGTCTGGGCATACTGTATTCACCCAGAACTATTTCTTAATTGCCAATTATAAACATGTAGTAATCAAGTGAGTTAGTAATAAATGAGGCAGACAAGGGATTCTCTTCTCAGAGAGCTTACATTCAAATGACTTTGCAAAGAACAACACATTTTCTGTTCTTTGATCTGTACAAAAGGAAGAAAAATTTCTCCCTCTAGTAGATACCATGCTATATATTAAAAATTCCTTTTGTAATACTTTCCTTTGCATTTGATGTTAGAAAAAACTTAAAAATAACACCAAATGACTAACTTTTGTTTTAAAATAGATCCCAGTTGCACATTTTAATCTATCTTTTTATAGTTCCCATGATAGTTTTAGCTATATGTTAATTGCCTTCTAGATATTCCTCAGTGTTCTGTCCTTTTAAAATTTGAAAAGAAAAGTGAAAGATTAATATAAGCTCTTGCTGCCGAACAGTTGGACAGATAAGTAACATGGAAGTTTGAGTTTTGCATGTGGCCACTATTGGGCACCTTTCATTGTTTATCCATTTCATAATTCCAGCAAATTTATGAGAAAATTACACTACAAAAATCTAGAAAAGCTTTCAAAACTTGTTATTTTCACCCAATTTTTGTTGCTAGTAAAAAGTAGAAGCAGATATGGCCAAAGTTCTTGCCCATAGAGATTATTACTTAGAGTTCTAATGCATGAAATTACTCTATGCAGGACAGATGACTCAGACAGTAAAGTAATGTAAGCACAAGGAACTTAATCAGGTGTGATGACACATGTCTATAATACATTACCAGAAAGACAGATAAAGGGAAACCTGTTGAACTCATTGACCAATGAGTCCAGCCTGTCTTTGAACTCCAGGTTCTGTGGGAGACCCTGCTTCAAAGCTAAACTGCACAACACAACAGCAACACAAACATAATGAGAGACTGTTGAGGAACATACTTGCTGTTGACCTCTGGCCACTATACACATGCACAAATATACAACATGTACATACATACATTCACATGTACACATGCATGCAAGCTTACACCCAAACATGCACAAAAAGGCACATGTACAGATACAAAGTACAAGCACACACAAAAACATGCAGAAATACACACACACACACACACACACTAAATAAGCTGCCTCCTCCAGATGATACTACATCAGTCACAGAGCCAACTTTCTGCTTTTGAATTTCTTCCTTCTCATTCACCTCTTTCTTTTCTGTTTTTCTTTGTTGCATATTCAAACATATTCCCAAATTTTTAAATTCTATAGACTCACAACATGTTTAACAAATTCAGATCTTATCTCGATTGAATTTAATCAAGCCAGTATACACAACTTACTTTCAAAGTATGTGCACAGTCCACATTAATAACATGTTTTTGTTGTTGCTGTTGCTTTCTAGAGATTTTTTAATCACTAAATTTTGTTATTTCACACTTTTGTACATGAGCCACTACATATTCACTGTGTAAACCACTACATGAACCACTCCTATTTCCTATTCTTTTATCTCCTTCCCGTATCAATATCTCATCCATCCTATAATATTCATATTCTATTTACTGGTTTGAGTTTTGGTTGCTGTCCCACAGAGTTTCATATTTTTTAGCAAAGTACAGGTTTCTTACTGCCCATACTAAGTTCCCAGTATCTTCTCCTAGAAAGCTACCAAGGAGTAGTTTTTTTAAAATTCTTCTTTCATACATTACATCCCAACAGCAGTTTGCCCTTCCTCCACTCCTAGTACATCTCCTCCCTCCTCTCTCCCCCAGATACACTCTTTCACCCCCTCCAATGGTAGCACTCCCAGGGACATCATTCAAACATGGCATAACAAGTTACAATAAGACTAGGTACAAACCCTCATATCATTGGTACATGAAACAAGGAGTGGTTTTATCACACTTCACTTTCCCTCTGTTTCTCTGTTTCTGCTAACAGAGACTTGCTAACAAACATTAAGGTGGTCAGGCATTAACACAAGAAGGATAATCAAGGCAGCAGACAAACCCACAAACAAATTTGATTAGCTTCAGATTCTGTGGTTAGTTACACAGCTTTGCATTCTTCCAGGAGATTAACTGCTTTTGTGTAGCTCTTTGGAGATGAATAAAGAATTTTCGCTTTTCTAGTTGTGAGATTTTGTCAACCCACTTCTTCATTTCTCATCCTTTTTATTACATAGACAACTTTGCAGAAGACTCTTGTAATTCCTTACTACTTAAGCATGTTTCTGATTTTCAAAAGTATTTGACTTGCTGTACTTAGTAGTGTTGACTTAAGGTCATCTACCATTCATTCAGGAACAATTCCAGCATCAGTTTTAGAATTTATTTGGTTGGTTGTTTAGCATAGGGATTAAATTGAATACTGTCATCATTGGCACCTTCAGCATTTTAATAAGGGATTATATTCCAGAATCATATTCCTTTTGCCTCCATGTTTCTGAATCCTTCATTCATTTAACAAACATGTATTGATTGCTGGCTGTGTAGGAATTATTGTCCCAAGTTCCATGAAATCATTAGTAGACAGAAAAGCATTTTCTGCTT